CACTTCAGATCGTAACTGCACATCAGGGAGATTTGCGTTTAGCGGTAAATTGTCACGCGGCAACCAAAGAGGCAAAGAACAACTTCGACCACCCCCATGAGGATCAGGCGTTCACCCGTCCCGGTCCTCTGGCGACCACATTGGCTGCGATATTTCTGGTCGCCTTGGCTCTCATCGTGTCCACGTGCGTCCCCATGCTCATCTCCGCTCACAATCGCAGGAGGGAAAGGCGGCCCGTCAGAATAGAGTGAGTGTTCTATACATACTGCTGCTAAAATACTTTTGTTGTTAGGTATGTAGTAAAATGTTGTTGTTACTTCCGCTTTTTGCGGTGGGCAACAATATATAAATGGCTTTTTTGCGTGGCAATCAATTGACATAAGTAGATTTTGAACTAATTAGAAGGAAGATTATTTGCTTGCAAAAAAGGCTAGCTGTCTTGACATCGGTGCATATGCTGCACTCAAGGACCTAGTTGCAAATATCGAGCATCGGATATCTCATAAGACATCTCATTTTGGAAGGTGCAGCAATCCGCTGCAGTTGCTCCAGGCATTTGATGGGAAATTGCATGTGGCGTACTTGTTGTTGCCTAATACCATCAAATAAAAACAAGAACACGCACGTGCAATTTCCCAGCAAATGCCCGGAAAAATGTCAGAACTGTGTGTTCAGTACCGTTTGACATTGACGCACAATTCATGTTGCTTTCTGCAGCACTCCTCGGGCCCCACTGCAGCGATGCGAGTGGGACTTGGACAAGGACGAGGGGCGCAGCACCGCATACTCGCCCTCCTTCGCGGACCCCGCCAACAGCCGCCGCCGCAAGTCCTCCTTCCCCATCCACACCTGGACCCACCCCATTGCCTCCGCCTTCGCGCCCTACCTCCCGCTCGAGGGCGATGACGAGACCATCACCTGCATGGAAGGGGGCGGCTACGGAGAGCCCTAAGCGCCGATGTTGTGGGTGGATGTCGTCAGCTAGGCAATTTGGGGCAGCTCATTTTCCGGAACGAAATTTGTTTGAGAAGTCTTTCGACAAGTGTTCGCGATTGGATCTGTCATCGTGCACTACCTCCAGCTCAGGGCCGCAATGGGCGGAGAGGACCTTGCAGGTCGGGGATCACTGCCGTGATCTTTGAGCCGTCGGATATTGTGGGTTTGACAGCTTTGGACGATTCTTCTTTGGTCGGCGGAGATTTGGTAGAAGAATCATTCGCCAGGTGTTCCCGATTGCTTCCGCCAATGCGCCCTGCCTCCCGGTCCAGGGCGGTGATGCGGCGGTCATGCACTTGGAGGGCGGGATGAAAGAAATGTGTTAAGGTTAAATGTTGTGGGTTTGCACCGAGGAAGTGCAGGAGATTGAATTTCGGTCATTTTTTTCGTTCTCAAGTAGATTACATTGGAAATTTGTGTCAGGTGCTGGGATCGCATCCACCGTCGCCCCCTACCTCCGCCTCGAGGGCGGCGATGAGCGGCCGCACTTTTGTAGGGCGTGTTTGGCGGAGAGCTGCCAAACATACGAGGTTGTGGGTTGGGCAGTTTGGGCGGAGTTTCTTTTGAGAATGAGAATTTGTTGGGGAATTTTACCGCAAGCGTTGAGGATGGAATTCGCCATGGCGGCCCACCTCTCTGTCGAGGGAGGCGATGAAACAGCCACGCACTTGGAGCTCGAGGCTTACAGAGGAAACTGAACTGGATTTTTTGAAGGAAGTTATGGAAAGTGTTCAGGTTTGTGTCCACAGCCGTCCCCTATGCCCCGCTCGATGGCGGCAATGTAATGCGCAGGCTGTCGATTGACCCGGCTCAACTAGGCACTCCCCTCCTATCCTTCCCTCTCCTAATTAAGCTGTCCTCTCCTTATAAGGGCAACCACGGAATGCCGGGTATTGTCGACTGAACAGTTTCGGGTGGTATTTTAGAACCACATTCGTTCAAGGAATTGAATGTGAAGTATTGTGGATCGCGTCCACAATCTCCCCATCTTTCAGACCCTTCCGTCCAGCACTTCTAAAATCGGCGCTCCTTTTCCAACACGAGCGCCGCTCAAAACTCTCTGTAATCTTAGTAATCTCGCTCCCTCCAAGCCTCAACAGCCAAAAAAGCTAAAATGCGAGGGCCGGCCAATGCTCTCGGAATGACAACCCATGGCACTTCGCTGGCCCTCGAAGCGTAACTCTGTTCTGGAAAGTGGTGCAAGGATTCATACTTTCTAATACTTGCATGTACCACTTTTCCCAAAAGGGGTGTTGGGCGTCGTACGCCACAGCCCAGTGAAGTGCATGCTCACACTGCAGCGTTGCTGCGGAAATCATCGATGCACACCCGTGACGACATATCGCTGGCATGAGTGGATCTGGAGTTACCATAATCTGTTCAACCCTTCCCCATAGCAACGTAACTTTTGGCTTGTTTTGGTGGAGGAGAATTAAAATAGTAAAGCAGCGCTGCTTTACTATGGGTATCCATAGTAGCCTATAGTGCTTTACTATGGGTAATCAAGGGCTAGCCCTTGTTTTTTTCGGTGTAGAAACATAAAAATAAAGCTATGCTCTGAGCAGAAAAATGCTGAGCAAAAAGCGTACCTATAAAGTTTTCTGATGGGGAAGGGTGGAGCATTACGGTATTGCAGATAGTGGAACATTTCACACGACGTTGAGGAGGAGATGACGCGCTTGAAAGATCTGAGACGCGACAGGAAATGATGCAGCGAGACCGCAAAGGCTGATGGCAGCCTCAATTCGTCTGCCAAACCAATTTACGATTTATTCGACTTTTAGTTTCGGTTCTGCTAATAGGCGCATGCGATCTCGTTGGATTCTGCAATTATGGCGGTGTGTACAGTGGAGGATCTAAGAATGAACTGATCATCGAAAGTCTCGTGACAGATCTACTTCCTCCGTCCCATATTAAATGCCCTCTATTTGAGGTACAAAATTAAATACAAAGAAAGCTTCAAAGGTACAAAACAATGTCAGAGTCAGAAAGTTGGGTCCCAAAACCCCTAACTACCAATTTTTGAGGGAAAAAAATGAGTCCCACTTCTTGCAGGGCACCCTCGAAATTGCCCTTGGATTCGGAAAAAAATGGGCGCGCCGATTCCGGTTCCGCTGGATATCCGCACGGTTCTGGGCCACTCCCATCCCGGACAAGCAAGGGGATGGTTTCACCACTGCCGCGGTGAGGGACGACACCCCTTGCGTGGAATAGCGCTGATCCAACACGGCCGATGGTGCTTGGATCGTCGTTGGCGAAGGCCATCGTCGCAGCGCTGACGATGCCAGAATTCGCTGCGACCCGAGATCCGAGATGCAAGGACCTATCACCAACCGAATAAGCCAAGATCCGGGGCGCTCAACCCTGGGCCCTGTGCGCTCTACCACTCCCAGGTATTTGCGTGGCTCTGCATGGGCATCTTGCCCCAATTGATCCTTGAATCGAGGCCATCCCGGGCAGCTTGGCCCACGATCAATGAGGTGCCACCAACAACCACCTCTTTTGTGCGGTCCACAATCCATCACCACCTAACTAGTTTCCGTTTGTGAAAGAGACATGGCGTTAGCCATCCAGCCGTTTGCCTCGTGCCTGGCCGCTTCAAATTCCACAGCAAACCCAATTTCGCCAATCTCGCGTTGACAGCAATTCCCACAATCGGCCGCTGCTAAATGTGGTGCTGGGCTTCACCTTCTCTGTCACCTTGTCAGGGGGTCTTGGAGTCACCCTCTGTTGTTTTGACGGCACCAATAGAGGACGAAAAGTCTTGGCCCCAAAAATTTGGGGCCGGAAGTTAGCTCCGGTCCACCAGCCCAGGACTGAATTTCAGCTCTAAGCTAAGGCGAGCTACACGATCAAGGCCTTCGGAACGCGATTTCTATCGCTGCACTTCCTCACAAGCACCACGCTGACCTTCTGTCTCAATGGCGTGCATAGTTTTGCACGGGCGGCTCAGTTTCGCTGCCGCGAACGTGTGCTCCTCAAAACAGCGAAAGCGGCCGTTTTCGAGAAATCATTGAAAAACCGATGGGATTCTGGCAAGAGGACCTACAAAGCTACCAAGCACTGCCAAATCATCAATACTTGACAGATTGAATTTAAATTTTGATCGTATACTCCCAAAATTTAGATACAGCTTTGGACAAAATTTCATTGAAGAAACTGTAATATATGATGGGGAAACGATACGCCAAATTCGTAGAGGACATTTAATATGGGACGGAGGAAGTATTTGGTAACATAGTCGCTGCTGTAAATTCAGGATGTGCGGACGTTATGGATTAGTCAGACAAGAACACTGCCTCATTGAATTTGCATGTCGCTGAGGTTGGAATTGTAGAAATTTTTCGTTTCCTTAGATCTTTTCTAAAGCTTGTGAGGTTCCAGGGCTCATAGGCTCACAATGTTGGGTTCCACAGTGTGATGTGTTGCAGTTTGATTGAATGTGTGATTTGTGTAGCATGCGGCGTTGGCCACCAGAGGCGGAGGTGGACTGTTTGTTGAGCTTCATTTGAAGTGCGCCACATTGTTCCTGATGTCAAAAACTGATAGGGAGACGAGAAAGAGACGATCCAGAGGTTGGGCTGCTGGGCGTCACTCTGTTCTGGATATGTGCCACGACTCTAGAGACGGGTCAGAACTGGGCGCCCTTTTCCTTGCTTTTCTTTGTTTTCTAGGGCTTAGGACATGCGCGAACAGGGTCCCTGTCTCTTGTAAACATAACTAATCGGTTCCTGATGCCGATTAAATCCATACCGATACCGAGTAAATAGACACCGACACAAATATAATCGATACCGATAGCGATAACGATGGATCGTCCTCAAACGATCAAGCTTCGCCACAGCTGCCACCCAACTCTTCCATATCCCCCCTTTCCACCGCGCCTCCCTCGTTCCCAGTTCGAAAAGTGTTCAGCGCTTGCCTTCGACACTTTGGCCTAACCCCAGCCCCACGCACAATCCGCCTACCCAATCTAAGGCAAAGGCAATCTTGCCTTGCCCATCATGCGCGCCCTGTGGCTGACGGACATCCACTTGGACCACCTGCGCGATGCCGCGGCTTTCGCGGCGTTTGCCGCGCGAGTGTCGATGGGCCACGCGCCATTCGACGGGGCCATCGTCACTGGCGATATCTCCACGGCGCAACACCTGAAAGGGCACCTGGAGGCGCTGGCCGCCGCCTGGGGGAGGCCGGTGTGGTTCGTGCTGGGCAACCACGACTACTATGGGGGAGGGATCAAACAGGTTGGCCAGGACACTAGAAAAAAACAGCCCAGATGACACAGTCCTGCCATGGCCTGCTCAAAATCCAACTGTGTACTTTCGGCAAATGTGGTCCCAAAAGCACGCAATGAGTGCACACATTGACTCAATTTCAACCGTGTACCCTCAATCAACTGTGTAGACTACACGGTTTCCTAGGATGCACGTTTAAAACTGTGTCAATGTGTGTACTAATTGTGCACTTTTGGGACCACATTTGCCAAAAGTGCACAGTTGGATTATGAGCACACCGTGTCAGAACTGCGTCATCTGGCCTGTTTTTTACTAGTGGAAGGCATCTGCGGATTAGCACAGTCTCCTGTTCTCTTCTCGACAATGGGTATGTTTCTTTGCATCAGATTTATGTTGCTTTTGCAAAATTTGCCCTTGAATCTCCAAGGGTGTGTTAGAATTCCTCTACACCACATTCATGTTTCTTTTGCTTGAATTTGCCACAGAAATACAAGGCCCGGCCCTTGTTCAGGTTGGCCGTTTGTGATCTGGCTTGTGGTTTTTCGTGTGTGCTATACATTTGGGGTGATTCTGTGGCTTCGCTGATGAACGGGACTCAGAGCAGGGTGGTGGGACATCGAGCTGCCTGCAGATTGTGAGCAGCGGTTGCTGCCAGCAATTTACTCATGGCTGGGCACTAAGTTTTGACTTGACCATGGAGGTTTCCATGTGCCATCCTTGTGGGGGAGCTCGTGCCACCCTGCTTCCCTTTCCTGGATAAGCAACTGCAAGTACTTGTTGATGAACGTTTTCGCTGTGTCTTGTTGGACATGTTCAGCTTCAATTGTCCTTGTTCTTGGCATGTACACATCCAACGACATTGCCATGTCCCACAGACGTTCATTGTATCTGCTTGCCAAGCGTGGTTCCATCTCTCCCTTTGCTTCTGAAGAAGCACTATGACTCACATATTATGTTCGGTCGTCAGTGTTTGATGCAATGGAAGAATTGACGGTTTATGGATGGACGACTTGAATAATTGATGGCTGGTCGACGACAAATTCGATCAAGTTGATGAGCAGATGGTGGATCGAAGGATCATGGGAATGTTTTATGGCTGATGGACAACAATTTTGATCAAATTGATGAGGGTATGGATGGTGGATGAATTGAGTTAATAATGGCTGACTGGCGGCTATCTGACCACAGTGATCTGGTGGATGGATGTATGTTCATGAATCCATGCATCCATTCGAATGGGAATTCCCTTCTTGCATTTGATCAAATTGATGAATGGACAGATGATGGATGAATGGAATGATTGATGGCTGATTGACGACTGCCTGATCACAGGGATCAGTTTGGTGGGTGGATGATTGTCGAGATTTAATACTTGGTGGAAGCCCTGGTGGGCACAGAAATGGCCGGTCTGGCATCCCATCCTTTGCTCACCTACCTGCCCCAAGCAGGGCCGATTAAACTGCCGCCAACCACCAGCCTGGCGGGGATCGGCCGGTGGGGCGACGGCCGGCTAGCTAGCCTATAGGCCGCGCGGAGACATCGCCCGTGTTGCTCAACGACTTCGTGCTGGTGAGGGAGCTCGAGGCGTCAAAGGGGCGAATGGATTTGTTGAGCCCAGTCAGGCGGTTTGGGGACGATGAGGCGGCGCGGTGCCGGGAGCTGCTGGCCGTGGCGGCGGAGAGGTCGAGAAGGGTGGTGGTGGCGACGCACGTGCCGCCGTTTAGGGAAGCCTGCTGGCACAGAGGTGCGGTGGGGCGTGATTTTAACCAAATGCAAACATCTTGGCTTAAGAATAATCAAATTCCAATATCTCACATTAAGTGCATTTTACGAAATCCCGTCGTATTTAACCGTATACGTATCTATCGGTGGCTATCTTATGTGGCTGATATGGAGCGCGAATCATGTGCCGCCGTTCCGGGAGGCCAGATTTCACGAAGCTGCGATAAGGTGCGCAAAAGGCAGGAACGCCTGCCATCAGGAAGGTGCTTTGGGGCGTGGTTGTAGTCAAATGCAGAATTTTGCATTAATTTAATCCAATACAGACATCTTCCTTTAAAGGCAGATTACGAAAATCACTCAGTATTTGACGTCGCTAAGTATACGTAACTATCTGTAGGTATTATGCACGGTTGAGTTGCAGCAGATAACTGGAGATGAAATAAAATGCACGTTGGGGGGGAGAGCGTGACGCACGTGCCACCGCTCCTGGAGGTCAGCTGGCACAAAGTTGTGGCAGGGCGTGATTTTGTCAAATGCAAACAGCTTACACTAAATACGTTTCACGAAAGTCGCATCGTAGTTCACCTTATACGTATCTGTCGTTAGGTATTGCACACGGTTGAGTGGCAGCGGATTGTGGGTGTCGAAACAATCGCATGCCTTGGGGGAGGAGCGTGAAGCACGTGTCATCACTCAGGCGTGCCTGCTGGCACCATGGTGCGGCAGGGCATGATTTTGGTGAAATGGAAATATCTTTAGGGTATTTCTATATAGTGTAATGCACTAAATACATTTTAGGAAAGTTGCATTTTAGTAAGTATATTTTTGTAAAGTCGCACTGCATTTCGCCGTATTCGTGTCGATCGGTAGGTGCCTTATACGGTTGAACCGCAGCGGATTGCGAGTGTGTCGAAACAATGGAATATGGAAGGGAGAACGATTGAAGGACGTGCCGCAGTTCCGTGAAACCTGCTGGCGCGAAGGTGCGTGGATATGACGGAATTCGCATCGTATTTGACGGTATATATATTATCGATATAATGTGTCGTATGCAGTTGGCTTCCAGCGGATTGTGGGTGTCAAACAACCATATGATGGGAGACGACCATTTCCACGTGCCGCCGGTGCGGGAAGCCAGTTTGCAATTAGGTGGGCTAAGGGATTGGATTTCGCAACAGTCCGATCGCAGTTGACCGTAGACATACGTACTGATACGTACCGCACATTGTAGAATCGTGGTAGATAGTGGTTACTGAAACAATAGTATGCGGAGTATGCCAAACGTCACCGTGGTCTATAGTCGTTCAACCGGGTTCATCCCCCTGAGTGTCTGTTGTCTTGATTTGTACTCGCTCTCTTTGGGCGTGAAGCAAAGAACCGCGCCAGAGTGATCAAAATTTCAAAAATCGAATTTTGTCGATCACACTTGTCAAAAGCTGATTACATTTGGGCAAACCGCCAAATTCAATGTTCAGAAATGAATTAGTCAAAGAAAGACATATTGGAAGCTTTTATTGTTGTCCAGGTGGGATTTCCGACGATGGCTGGCAGCCTTCGTTCACCTGCAAGGCCGAGGGGGGCGCTGTTGTGAAGTCGGCAGAGGCGTACCTCAAAACACAGTTCTTGGTTCTGTGCGGACACGCCCATGGGTCGGGCGCGGCGGCGATTCGGCCAAACCTAGAAGTCCGCACGGGGGCAGGGGGGGTGGGGTGGGGGGTCTCTGGGAGCCCCGAAGTGGAAGACGTGCCGGACTTTGCAGGATGTGGAATGTACGCAAATGTAACACAATTTATGGAAAGATTGTAATACTCCAAGAATGTAATTTTTCGATGAATTTGATGGAATGCACGGTATACTGCACGATTGGGAATTGAGATTTTGTACCGTGAGACAAGATGCTGGCAACAAACCTATTTGGTATTGGCATAATGTTTCTATAGAGGATAAAAATTTTGGCTAAATAGAAATTGGCCAGCAACAAGAACACGGAAGAAATTGTCGACTTGAATGTAGGCGCTGTGCAGCACGTCCAGTTTGCGTTTTGTGGAGTTGTTTTGCTGTGACATGGTTTCTTGAGGCCTTGCCCTCAAGTGGCCATTTTATGAAGTCGAAATGACAAAGGGGAGATTAGCGTTGACGCGATGCGGAGGACGACAGCCATCTGCCAAGTGGGCATGGTTTAGTTGACTTTGTGAATGCAAGTGAACCTTATAGTTTGGGTGGAAAATCGTTCATTCATGGAATACACAGAGAACCAATCATGAAGTGTGCGTTTCCGTGCAGCAGGGATCAGCAGCGGAGTCGCAGTCAAATCCGCTACAGCGATGTCCCTCAACAGCCAGTCATGCATTCAACCCGTGTACCGCGATTATTCGCATCGGCGCTGTCGGGAGGCGGCCGGCTTTGATTCCGCATTACATGCGGTTAAGCCGTGCATTAGCCAGCTATCACACTCTCGCGGAGGCCCCGGGGATCCAGCTGGCTTCCGTGTGCCCCTAGTCAGATGCCAAAAATCTTTCTACGCAGTTTGCTTCCAAAAGCAAAGTGCTTTGAACGACTGCTCAGTCTTGGCCCAAGACGAGACTCTTAGACCCTTGAGTCTACGGACCCCAGGGTCTGGGGTTCCATGGGCTGAAGAATCTTCCTAAAGATTCTGAAATACCTAAAGATTCTGAACTTCCTAAGGACTGCTTTATAGCTCTTGGCAATGCTCATTGTGGGGAAGTTGTACTTCAAAATACAATGCAGCCATTGCAATGGCTATGGTACAGCCAATTGGCTATACCATTTTTCTTGAGGGGCCTTACAATAATGTATCTAGCGTGTCACAAAGCGAATAACCTAAAAGATACGCAGCGCCGCAGCAATACTCAATTCAAGACAAATTCGCTTTAATACTTATATTCACAGTAACAAATGCAATTGACTACCCTGTTAATGAGTTTCCGCCCAATGCGACTTTGGGTGGGTGCACGCCGGCCGGCCGGGGCTGGGGCCACCCTTTCTGGGCCACTTTTGCACATGTTATTCCGCCTCCTGCCAGCCCCGTACCCGTGGTCAGTTTGGAATTGTTCAGAACAGTTCAGAATCTGGCCGCCAGTTCCAAAGGGTGATCGGATGATCCTCGTAGCCAGAACGTAGACAACGGGACCGGGCAAGCCAGCCCTTGGGTTTGGCAGGAAGTTTGGCGGCAAGTGGGACGGCCACTTAGGCGAGACCCTTGCTGCCCCTCTTCATCTTGTTTTGCACCCACCCAGCACACCCCGATAGAGTGACTTTCGGTTAGC